GAGGCGCTGCCTGCGCCCCGCTGCGCGGCGGCCGAGCCGGCCGGGGACAGCTACTTTCGCAAGGTAGGACGGGGTCCCCGCGCAGCGCGCCGAGGCTCCGCCGCCTTCCCGGGGTCGGGCGAGCCTGGGAAAAGCCTTTCTCTCCGTCCCCGGGAGCGTTCTGAGCTTACAGGGCGCTTTAAAGGTGAGGAACACGCCGCCCTCGCTCAGCCTTGCAGGACGAGGCTTCCCCGCGGTTCCGCGGGTGTCGCATCGGCCAAGCTCCGCGTGCTGGAACGGGACGAAGCGCGTTCCCCATACGGGAACTACATCCAACATCCACTTTTACACCCAGTTCTGAGCGTCTTTCCCACTCTTGAATCACCGATTTCTTAAATCTGTGCAAAGGTGAAACAAAGTTGGTATTCAGCACAAGAAATCCATAGCCAGGTGGGCTGTGCTCGCAGTGAAGCTCTTGGGAGACCTTTAGAAGATTCATCTGCTTCGTAAATGTCTCTTAACGAAATCGTAAACTTCAAATTAGGCTAGATGTTTAAAGTCTACTGTCCCTGAAAGTTATACGTAATCAGGAAACCAGTATGCCTTGTTATACATTGGCTCTATGGTTTCAGAGATCAGAGCTTGCCTTCGCATTAAGTAGTTCCAGGGGGGGGAGACCCACCAACATCTTCTGGAGCCTGGAACAGACTTAAACAAGAAGGGAACCTGAGGAAGTCCCCTGGATGGATATTTTTAGTTTAGACCATACTGGATGACTTCAAGTAGCTGAAACTGGTGCTTGAACTGTTCGTGTGTGTCCAGGGGCTTTTCGTTTCTTCCCAAAGGATTCCTTTGTATCCTGCTCCCCTCCCTCCTTAAATCATGCTGTTCGTTTCCCCTGAAAGGATCTGAGGCTTGATTTACCAGTCTTGTTTGTCCAGAATCCCATACGTTTCCAAGGCTATTCTCTGTGTTTTGAGATCAAAAGATAGTTGCTTAATTGACCTTTTTGTTCCCCAGGCTGGGAGCGGGGTGAAAACACGCACTTTGCACCAGCACTGCTCCCAACAGGGCTCCAAGGCACCCTCACTCAGGGGGGCTGTTTTCCAGACTGTGCAAGAATGCTCTGAGAGCAGGTGGTGAAATTCAGTATTGCTGAAATCTAACAGTTTGTACAAATCTATTTGCTTTAGACTTTTGACGGTTTCTTATGATGGATGGGTCGCTATGGAAATATGCACAAAGTTTATATAGTGCCCTTTTGTGTAATGAGCTCTTCTAAGTCTTTAATACCATTTATTGGAGAATGAGCCTCATTATCCCCAGGTGCAACATCTATACTGTTTTTTTTCCTTTCCCCTAAGGAGGAGCCCCTGTAAAATCCTGCCTAGCCCTAGGTAAAGGGCAAGCCAGAGGGGAAAAGAGACAGGATCCTGTTTCATGTTTTACGGCTGTCGCTGCCCCGGGGCAGTCCCGGGTGCGATGGGCAGCAGCTCTCCCTGTCCTGCCACTGTCCCCTTGCCCCCCTCTGCCCCTTCCCAGCAGCGTCTGCAGGAGCCGCTTCCTCCCTTCTCCCTTGCCCCATGTCTGTTCTCCCCTTTCTCCCTGTGACAAGGGCCCACCATCTTTGCACAGGCAAAATGCAGTTTTTCTTAAGCCTCAAATATACTAACTAGCCAAAAGTTTTTTATTTTAACCGTTTTTTTTTTTTTTAAGAAAACTACTTATGCAGCCACATACGGTATATGTATCTCTATCAGTATGGCTCCATTCCTTTCCCACTATGTTCCCTCCTTACCTTCCAACTGCTTTTGAACTTTCTGATTAGCTACAACCAACCCTGTAAGGATTTGTTTCTTCTTTAAAAGAGAAAACCCTTCTCGCACGTTTCCTGGGGAGGCTTTGGCAAGGTGGAAGAAACACCTTCTTACGGCTTTCCATCGCGGAGCAGAAGGAGATTCTGTCTGGAACTTCTGATGCGCTGGGAAAGTAATGCCCCAGGAAACAGCCTCTGCTAGTGCTCTGTTTATCTCGGCCATCTGGGGCTGATAGCTTAATTCAGTGTATTCCTGGTGCAGCACCAGGGCAAACTGCACCGCGGCTCCTGGGTGCTGCGTGTGCTCCTGCAGCACCGGCCTCCTCCCCCTCCTCTTCTGGGAAGACTCCCCCTCCTCTTCTGGGCAGTCATGACAAAGCTGAGGATAGAAATCAAATAATTTTTTTTTTGTCTTAAAAGTAGAACAAGGCATTTAGAAAAGTGTTTTTAACAGTCTGGTACTGAAGTCTGTACTTGAAGTAGTATCTACCCTCACGTGCTGTTTCGCTTACCCGAGGTGCTTCTTCCACCTCTAAGGAAGTTATTCTTTAAGCCAGCCACGGCCTTTTGGATTGTTTCGGCTCTCTGACACTTTTTTTTAGCAGCTTTTGAGTTACTAAGCCAAAGAAAAAAAGGACTTTTTTTCTCCATGCTACTTCATTTTTTTTATTTATTACTTCTGTTTTTTTTATTACTGCACACATTCCACAAACATTCTCACAGAGTAAACATCCCAGTAAATGAGCCAGGAGACATAAACAGACACTTACAAACCTGTGCTTGTTTGATGCCCAGCTCCCCAGCTTGCACAGTGCGTTAGGGCTGCGTGTGCCCTGCAAGAGAGCTGGGATATTTGGGGTGGGCAGGGAAGGGCTGAGCAAAGAGGAAAGAGACTTTTATCAACTGCTGTCTGGTATGTCTTTCCCACCGTAGTTTATTGCCTTGGGACTCCTTATGTACACTATAACCCTTTAAGTTCCTGAACCAGCCAGAAAGTGCAGCAGATGATAAAAAGCTTTGGTCCGTGTCCCGAGCTCGCCCTTCCTGTAGCTCCCAGGCATTCGCTGATGTTTGGGGGTGCTACACAGCTGGACCTTTCCTCCCTTCCTTTGGGTAGCAGCTTAATAAATCTTTATCTTAATAAATCTAAAGCTGGTCAGGTTAATGAGGGTGCTTATTTTTTTTTCTTTTTCACATTCTTAAAGCTTTAGCTTGATATCTGAGACTAGGTATTTATCATATAGACCAAGCTGATGAATCACTGAATGAAGAAAAGAAGGCTCTACATCTTTTAGACAGAAAGACAGCATATATTAGTCCTCCCTGCCAGAGGAAAAGGCTAAAAACAGAAAACAAACAGCTCTCTAAACAGAGCAGCACCAGCCTCAAAAAGGGGATGATAATAGGTATTGTAACCAGCCCGTGAATCAGCACTTCCCTAATTAACCCCCTCTCCTTCCCGCCTTAGCTTTTGGGATTTGTTCTGCAGGGTTTCCCAGCTGTGGTTAATGTATCAGTTCACTAACCTGCTACACCTGTGCTCCCACTGGGGTTTCGCTAATGTGGCTCTCTTCAGTCATTAGTCACCAGGCAACCATCACCATTAGCATTTGCACAGGAATATTTATTTGCCTATTTGCTGTCTTTCCAATTGTCTAGCTAGCACGAAACAGTGTTGTGATGATTCACGCTGCACGTCATGCTCTATCTGCTCATTATAGACAAATTCAGAAAGTCCTAAAACCGAAAGCAGGATTTCATATGAGACTGGGAATCACCTGAAACTTGATTCATCAAGAAATAGATTCCTCTGACAATCGTAATTTTGCTAAATAAGCAGTGTGACAAGACTGATTATTGTACATAAAATATGTATTTTAAATTTAATGGAACAGTTCTAAAAGTTTGCATTAATCTTTATGACCAGGCACTTAGACCTGTAGAATACTTGTTCAGGGCACAGTTAGACCAGCCTCTGGAAAACCAGAGCTTCCTCTGGGCTTTCCTCCCCGAACTCCTTTGTAGCTCCATATAAAGCATCTACTATTGAAACTATTTCTGTTAGTTTTCAACACCTAAGAGAAACATACAGGAAACTTTAACCTGGTAGAGAAGGTAAGGAAATAAACTGAATTAGTAGGACTTGCCCTAAGTTCTAGAAATGCTGGCATGAATCATGCTGTTTACAACTTCCTCGGCTGTAGCAGAAGCTCCCTCCTCATTTGCTGCGTGCCTTTCAGTATCTAGAGGGCACGGCCATTTGCGCAGAGCGCGGCCGGCCGGAGCAGGTCTGGCGGCTGGGAGGGAATGCCCTGTTTTGGGCAAGGAGACGCACCCAGTTTCAACTCTGTCTCACCTTCAGACAGTGTGTGGCTCATTCGAGAAGTTCGAACCACTGCTGCATACATCACATTTATGTTAACTTCAAATACCTCCTGTGATTGCTCATTACTTGGCAAACAGTCATGATTTTTCTATGCATCAGAACTGGATTTCTGACGCTTTCTGACACTAAAAATACTTATGCTTTGAATAAGAACTTCCTGGCAAGGTACTGCCCACAAAGCCAACCTGGAGTCCCAGACAAGTCGCTTGCCTAGACACCCTCTGTGCCTCCATGTAATGTGCAGAGCGACGTCTCTCCGCATCCCGCCCGGGTGGGACCTGGGTCAGGATAGGGCCACTGGGCCCCTGTGGCCCGAGGGGTGTCACGCTGAGATCCCACGGGCATTCGGGCGACAGCTGTTGGCCAAATTAGCATCTGTGGGATAATGCTGATAGACTTAAAAGCAGGGAGGTCGCCGGCCACCTGAGCTCTGGCATTAGTTCTAGCAAGAGATGAGCAGGAATCCTATTGGAATTGGTAGCACGTGACGCTAACCAGAGGACTGCTACCAAACACGTCGCCAGCCTTGACCAGGAGATGTGTTTCTGTTTCTAACATCAGTGTCTCGGTTTCTGCCAAGAAAATATTTAACTAGGTACATAAATAACATATGCTGCAAATCTATAGCTCTTGTTGCATGGGTTTGCCTTTGATACCTATTAAAACACAGCAGCTTCCCGAGTCTGTAGTTTCAACAATGTTATTCAACAAAGCAGGAAGAAATAAGGCAACTAGTTAACCAGACTCTAGTTTCTGTAAGAGTTTTTTATGGGCTTGGGAGTTAAGAATAGTAGTATTTACTCTTTAAACACTTCACAGAACAGAGCTACACTTTTAGAGGGAAGAAAGGCTCTAAAACTCGTAGCTCCAAGTTTACTATTTATCTTCACAGCAAGGTTTCTCAGTTAACTCCTGTGTGTTTTCTTTTTTTTCTCCAAATTACATGCAATGTAAGCTTAGTCACATTCTGTTCTTGGTCATTTTTAGTAACTAAATGTCCTGTGTGTTACATTCATTAGTAACAAAGATTCTTTTGTTGTACTATACATTATCACTAAAATTATTAAGCCAGGTTTAAATCCAGCTCACTCCAAATTGTCTCGGCTCTGCAGAGAAATAAACAGTAATTAAATGAAACATCTAACATCCTGTTGACAAGAAATGAAGACAGGAGGTGTGGAAGCTGCTGTGAAGTCTGGCTGTCTGATGCTCTAGCACTGAGCTCTACCTTTCTTGGCACTGTCTAAACATGGAACTAAGTGCAAAGTGCTGCCTAGGAAAGCGAAGAAAATAAAATCTATACAGGACAAACAAAATTAAGCTACTACGTAGACATGTTCTCCTAAATAACTGCAAAGTTTTCCAGAAGGCAATAAAGGCCTTATAGGCCTCCTTGAGAAGTGAACACGAAGACTTTTGGACTGAGTCTTGATCAAAAGTCCACTGAAGTAAACAAAATTGGTGTACTGAGCTTGGTGGTGTCAGAGTCAGGTGCTTGATTTTCCTGATTTTTTTTCTCAGAAATGGAGCTGTAAGGAAATATTTGAATGATGTCATGAGGCTTGCTTGGAATGCAGGACGGGCAGGGAGTGCCAGAAAGCAGCAGCTTTGCAGGGCAAATGAAGACAATGGCAGGGGAAGGGTACGTTGGGGAAGGCTGGTTGGCCTAAGCTGAAGGGAAGCAAGTTGGAAGAAAGCGTTGCAGACCTGTACAGGGGTATAGAGAAGGAAAGGCCAAGGTGAGAATTAGGTATTTGAGCTCGGCATGAAAATCAAAAGGAAACTTTGGCAAGGTTCAAAGTGAGAGGAGGGAACAATTTCAACGCGAGAGAAAAGTTATACAAGACAAAATAATGAAAAAACAAAGTAGGAGGAACAGTGGCAGCTCAAAGAAAGAGGTTAAGAGGGGAAAGTGATTTGCAGGTGTTAACACCATGCTGTACTTTTAATTATGCCCGTTTTATGTCTTTGAATGTGTATAAAGGTGCATCTAATGTTTTTTTAATAGTTAAAAGACTCCTAATCTGAGACGAACAAACGATTTTGCGACACGTGCGTGTGCTCTACGGTGAGCAGCTCTGCTGCTGTGGGTCTGTCTGGGGCCCGCGCGCGCCCGGGCGCCCGGCTGCCGCGGTAATTGGTGCCTCAGCGCAGAGATATCTCCGTGGTGAGAGTAATTCAAAGTGACGTGTGTTTTCAAGCCATCTGATGGAGAGCGCCTCTGAATACACTTATATGAGCTTCCTGTCATTTTACCTACTTACTACAAACTTTTCAAAGTAATGTTGTACTCTGTGCTTTCTCAGTTAAACTAGTGGAATCTGGACAGATCGGCTCACTTTGTTAATGCCTAATCAATTTGCCTTTACTTGCCAACCCAAACAAGACCTAAACTTCAAGCAGATGATTAGAGCTTCGTGTTCTATTTGGATACATGCTTCAGCTCTGCAAGTGTGTCATTGCCTGACCGCTCCTAATTAGAGCTTGTTGAGAAACTTCTAAATGCGGTTATTGTCAAAACCAAATACTTCTAGTCAGAACCTAGGGAGAGATGCAAGAGCAGTGAATAATCTAGCGGCTGCAGTATCTGAGGGAAAACTCATGTCAGAGATCTGAGCCTCTCTCGTATTACGCATAATCCTGTAGGAACCAGACAGGCTGGGCAACAGGATACCTAGGAAGGCCATTCAAGAGAATATGCTTCATGTAAGAGCAAGTCTTAAAACAGAGTGGTCTTAGTCGCTTCAGAATCAGTCAAGGCTGTAGGCATGTGCTGGTATGAGTGTCTATTCAACGTGTGAAGACAGAAGCATTTAAATAAAAGAGGAGAAAAAGAACAAACAGTGTCTACACATATAGAATCCGTGTCTTTAAAGTTCATTCAGATTTAATGTTACTCACTTTTCAGAATCTTCCAACAACAACAACAAATATTTTTCCTTACTTCTAGGGATGTAATCCTCTTGCTGAGACGGGTCGTAGCAAACTACAAAATCAAAGAGCTGTTCTAAATCAACAGATCTTAAAAGCAGTGAGACTGAGAGCTGGTGCTGAAAATCTTTTACGGTACGTGCCATCACTTCCTAGTTGTCTAGCTAGAGCAACAAAACTTTTTGTTTTAGTCTCTTGGCTATTGTATTTTGCTCAGTCTGTCTAACTGCTCCCATAATGTGCTAAATAAATTGCTGCTGGATGCTTTGTGAAAATCCTTGAAGCTTTTAAGCCACAGAATCATTACCTGCTTTAAAGTGCACTTTCAAAGCCACTCTATTGTAGCAAAGGGGCAGAGCAGACCATGTTACACTGCCTTGTTTGATCAGTTTTATTGTTAGTGATAATGGAAAGTGAACCTTACTGAGCATAGTTAGGGGTCCTTTTCTGTGTTAAATCAGGTAACAGTTTAATCACTACCCTGTTGCCCTTTCCAAATTTCTTTAGATTTGTGTTCAGCAGTGGGAAAGGAAAATCACTTCTGCTGTTCCTTGTGCTAGTGATATAGGAGCAGCAGGATTTGAGCTGCTGGCACCACATTCTCACACTGTTTGAGGCATCTTGAAGAGACTTTGTCCTTTTTCCATTACGTTTTGTCCAGAAAAACAAGGTCTTATTTATCATGCATTTTCTTACATAGCTGTCCCCATAGAAATAACCATATATTGACCTTGTCTTGAGACTATTACACCCTGTGATGAACTGCCTAGCAAACAGTCATGTAGTTTTCTAACAGTCCATCCCCTCTGTTACCCAGAACTGTGAAAATTCCCAAATCCCCATCTGCAGTAGTGTCCTATAGTCACTGTGTATCTGCCACTAAAGGAATAATGGCCTTATGGAGATTTTCAGGCTCCAGAATAAAGTCCAGTTGATATGCTTTCCCTAGAGAGGTGAAAACTGCTCAGTTAAAGTTTTATTTTCTTAGGCTTAACATTAATTGATAGGCTGCTACTTCCCTGTCATCTGACTTTATCTACACGCTTGGCAAAAGAGGTGGTAGATTCAAAGCTTGTGTAAATCACTGGCAGTTTAAGCCTCTGTGAGGGATTTAATTTTGCTTTGTTTGCTGGTAACTGACTGAGGAGTAAGGCTTTAGCTCCTTACCTTTTGAATTCATGCAAAATCCTTATATCTGCTTTTGAAGGCGAACACCAGTCAATCAGCAGAGCATTCCGCATGTCAACTTGCGGGTGTTTCAGAAAAGCTGCAGAGGCCAGTGGTATCTAAATCAAACACTCTGACATTCAGCTGAATGGTATCCTAAAGATGGGCTCCTGAAATCAGTATTAACTGCTAACATACCAAGGTTGCTATTGACTAGAGTGGGAGCTACACCACTTTGAAAAGTAAAGGGTCAGACTTATTTCTAAACTATTAAAAATCTAAAATGAAATTATACTTGTTAGACTTGCTAGTTGCAAGTTCTTTGAAGTAAGACATTCATCTCTAGATGAGACTTCACATGACTAGATATATTTACTGTCTCCTAAGAAAAGCATAAACGAAACTTTCAGATTTGACCTGGATTTTATCAGGTTTCGAAAGCAGTAAACTAATCATTACCTACCAAGAGCCTCCTGCAGTAGGGCTTGAAGAAAAACTGGAAATGCAGGTTCCTTTACTTTTGGCTGAAATGCAAGTAAACGTGGACAAAGTGAGTTAGGTTGGAAACAAACAATCCACATTGTGCAAAGACTTTCTAGAACCTCACTCAGATGTTAGCAGTGCTTCATCTAGACAATGACAGGTGCCTAATAAAGTACAGCATAGAAAACGCACAGTACCACATTTATAATACAAAACACACAGCCTAGAGTTGTAGCCTTGGAATAACAGCCAGTTCAGTTTTCAACATCCCGTAAGATGAGAGGATGTGCAAGCGGAGAGCAGCTGTAAAAAGTGTGTTCCTAAGTACTCACAAAGTTTAATTTTAACAGGAAATAGGACAAAAGTATAGACAAAATACTGCAAATTGTATACATATAAAAAGAAAGTATTTTTTGTCTTGGATGCCCTAATATAGAGATACAATATCTTATGCATGGATGTGGATCAGTGCTTTTGATATTAAACTCATATCTGTGACTATAGGTAACTGTTTAACTCTCTTGAAAACAGCAATATCTTATGGAGAATCACATTAGAATTAGTGAGATAAATGTATATATAAATACATGCACCGTGAAATACACAAATAAGAAATCACACAGAAATGCTCTGGGGCTGTGTTAAATACTATCCAGTGTGGTGGCAGTCCAAAAAGTGTCATCTATACTCGGCATATGAATGGCAAAGGAAACAAAATCTTTTTTTTGTGTCAGAAAAATAGAATTATAGAGGAAATTGTATGATTTTTAAAAAATTATTACTATTTTTAAAACCCACGTACGTGGTTATAGAGTATTCTGGAATAACTCTTTTAGGAAAACTTACTTTGTTTGCAGGCCATTTTCTGGAAACTATCACAGGTTCTGTTGACAGATTCTGAAATGTGAGATTTGTGTTGTCTCTTAAGGGGAAAAAATAATCTTAAAAATGCTGAGAATGCAAGCGAGGCGGTCAACAAAGCTGATACACAGCTCCTGTCCTCTGGCACTGAAAAAATTGTCTTTCTCTCTGCAGAGCTACCACCAACAACAAAGTACGAGAACAGGTACTACTGGAACTAAGTTTTGTAAACTCTGACCTGCAAATCTTAAAGGAGGAATTGGAAGGACTTAATATCTCAGTAGAGGTTTATCAAAATACAGAGTAAGTGAAAAGCTAAGTTACTCCATTATCGGCAAATCTTCTATTTGTCACTGGAAATAAAATTGTTGCTAGGTAAATGTGAATGTAGCACAATAACTAGCTGAAAGAACAGAGAACTTGCTAGAGAACACATTCGGTGGTAGATTTGTTGACTAAGGGTTAGTCTGCATATTTGTCTTTCTCTTGGGAAAGGTATGTTGCACTAATCCTTAGACACCGGGTTCCTTCGTGGAGGTGAGCATTGTCAGGATTGAAAGCTTGTGATGCATGGCACTTGGAAGAATTTCCAGTGCCAGGTTGGGTAACTAGGTCAGTTTATTATTACATGAAGAAATCCAGCAATACAGCATCTGTTCTCCAATGCAATGCATTCAACAGTCTTCCCTTTGGAGGCCTAAGCAGGACTTGAGGTAACCTTTAAGGTGTGTGTTCTGTGTCGAGTTCTGTGGCAATAACCAGGCTTTGAGAGTCTCCTTTCCTTGGAGGAAAAAACTGGCTCAGATGGCAAAGATGCATGCAAGTAGCCTTCCTGTCTCCCCTCTGGGAGTCACGGGACATTAAGCAGACTGTCTTGGGTGGGAAGAGATTGTCGTAAACTATGTAGCTTTTACCTCAACACCTATCAGCATAGTAACTTTTTTCACAAGGAATAAAAGTAAATCTCTTACCTGCAGACAAACAGAGAACAAAGATTTCTGTGGCTTCTTTGATTGTTTTGCTTTTGTTTTTTTTTCCCTACAGAGAGACTTTCAGCATTCCCTTGGTACCTCTCGGCCTGAAAGAAACCAAAGAAGTAGACTTTACAGTTGCCCTGAAGGTAATTTCAGAAATACGTTTCAGAAAAAAATAGCTAAAATGAAGAGAAATAACTTGTGAAAGGAAGTAGAAAGGTTTCTACTGCAGTGATACTGCCGCTTGTGCTCACCCAGCTCTAACTCAGTTTCAAAGCAGCATTGCAACATTGGCACCATTTTTTGCAGGCCAGTTTACCTTGCTGCCTATCTGAGCCACCATCTGTGTGTCTGTACTGTCGTGCACCAAGGCGCCTCCTTGGTTTACACTGCCTCCTGCACTGCCATAGAATTTGTTTCTGCTTTTACATCTGTAGTTACTCTCAGTGGCCAGATTCTGCTACCTTTTGTGACACTGCAGTTTTGTTAATCTCGGAGAAATTGCACTAATATAGTTGATAAGAATTTGGCAGAGTCTCTTTCTGCTAATGAGCTTTCATGGTCACTTGATTCCCTTGTTAGTTTATAGTTAAGAGGATTCATTTATGCTTTTTTAAAGGCATTAAGTGCTGTTGTTTTAAGACACAGTGGAGCTGATGTAATACTTGGATTTTTTTACATTAAATTGGAATTTCTTATCTCTCACAGCAGATGAAATTATTAATTCAGTTGCCTTTTTGTAATGTCATTATTTATATTTTATTGGCAGGAAGACAGTAGAAAGTATGCAGCTCATAACTGAAACAATTTTTTACTGTCCATAACTACAAAAGAATTAATGAATGGCTTGGGTTAATTTTAGGGTAATTCTATCTATTATTTTTTCTAGGACTTCATTCAGGAACATTATAGCGAAGACAGTTCTGAGTATGAAGATGAAATAGCAGATCTCATGGATCTGAGACAAGTAAGTTCCAGTATGGAGTAATGGAGGAGGAGTGTTACATCATATCAAGTTTGAATCTCCAATAAAACTGTAAATAACAGCATTTTTATGGAATCAGATTATACAACTTTTACTTGTAACTTACCATATTTGTATTGACTTCAGTTCTGTGATATGGAACATGAATCTCCATCAAACGGCTGTACAGTCTGAATAAAGAACAAGTGAAGAAAAGGATGAATGAAAAAAGATGCAAAGTTATTGAGCTCCCAAAAAAACTTTATAAACCCAGAATCTTATTTTAAGTAGTTTAAAATTAGCAGGATGAGTTTGGAATCAAGTGCATCTGGCAAAGGGCTGTAACAGAATGATGGTTATTTCTAATTACTCTTTGTTTCCAATATTATACTGGAAGAAAGAAATCAAATTTCTTTCTAGCTTTCATAAAACACCTACAGTCTTTGTTTAAGTGAATCTGAGGCTTGCTAAATGTGTCTTCCATGTGCTTTCTTAAAAGTTATCTGCTACTCTCCGTGTAGGTGGGAAACTCTTATTTGGAGTGCATCCATAAGGCTTCAAGCTAAGTGTTTCAGATTCCATGCAGCTGTGTGATATGCACAAGTTGAAAGGAAGTAGAGCTTTACTCTTGGTGTTTCCATATTCATCCTGTAGCTCAACAGAATGTGCTTTTAATCTGTTGTACTTTAAGGCCTGCCGTACTCCCAGTCGAGATGAAGCTGGTGCTGAGATGCTGATCAGCTATTTTCTTCAGCTTGGTTATGTAGAAAACAGATTTTTTCCACCCACCAGGTACATGGGGATTTTATTTACATGGTAAGTGTGGAGTCCATGTTTGTTCCTTTTTGTTTGTTTTGTTTTGTTTTTGCAGAATGTTGTTAATCTTTATCTGTCTTCTGTTTGAAGAATGTCAGTGTCATTGTGTTCCCCCGCCCCCAGTGTGTGTTGGCAATGTTTTCTTGGCATTAGGAGTAAAATGGAATATTCAGTTTCACTGAATATTCAGTAAATACTCAGTAAAAGTATTTACCGAATACTTTTCAGTATTCAGTACTGAATAGTACTGTAAAGCCTTTTCCATGCATAGGGCAAAGTCATTGATTAGATTATGATCTGAGTGACAGCTTGCACAAGCAAAAGGGGAAATATGTCTTCATTTTAGACAACTATAGATGTTTCCTGGACTCTGAACCTTGGTACATGAAGCAGATTTGGAAAGAATCAGACTTTAATTCAGTTTGCTGAGGGGAGCACTGGGCCAGGAAATGGAAGTAATGTCATTTGTTACTGCAGTGGTGGGTTTACTACAGCTATTAGCAAAGTTAACACTCTCAATTGAAAGTCTTGATTTTTTTCCGATGGGAAAAGATGGCAACTGCCATGCAGCCAAGAAGACTTGCCAGGTTTTTAATCAAAACTGCAAGAAGACCTTTAAAATATGAGTTATAGAGTGTCTAACCATGCCAGTAGTTGATCTTTGGCAGCATCTAATAGTGCACGCCTAATAAAAAGTATAAGAACATGACAAGCACACATGGATACTTCCCCTGTATTCTGTCAGTCTCTGGTGTCTGTTTTATAGGGACTTTGAATTGGATATGATGTGCTTACAGAGATGTTGGTTTAAACTCCCCTGGAAACTAAGCCTTCAATAAAATAATTGTCTAGTTTGTTCTAGTTTGTGACACAGTCCAGGGATTATATTCAGAGTACATAAAGGTAATCAGAATTACCATTATTTTCAGTGTATCAGAACAGTCATTAAGAATTTTGTTGCTCTTTTGGAAGAAAGAACAAAACAAAAAAGCAACCAACGAACAACAAAAAAACCCCACAAACAAACAAAAAAGAAAGCTAACCAAAAGAACAGAATGAAAATATCATTTCCATGGGCTATACTTATCTTAACACTTTTTATTTAATTTCCTTTAAAGGTATGACTCCTTCACAGGTGTCCCGGTGTGCCAGCAAAATCTGTTGCTTGAAAAAGCAAGTATTTTATTCAATATTGGAGCCCTATATACCCAAATTGGCACAAGATGCAATCGTCAGACAAAGAGTGGACTTGAAAATGCAGTTGACGCTTTTCAGAGAGCAGCAGGTAAAAACTTAGAAGTATCAGGAAAGTCTTAATATAAGTGCTCCAAATAGTCTGACTTCCTGCAGATCTCTGCATTTCCCACCAACTTTCTTACACAAAAAAAGGAGGGATAGGGAAGCCTAATGAAGAGCTGAGACAAAGCTTTATTTCAAAGCCTGGAGCTGCAGTCTGAATATGCCGATAAAGAGAATGAATGTCTTGGTTAATGATTAATCAATTGTAGTTCAAACATCTGAGCAATAGGTATAGTATTAACTGTTTCATACTTCATTTTGCCAACATGACCTCCATGATATTACAGTGGTGTAAAATCTGTACAAGAAATAATTGAAGGGTTAATAAAGGGCTTAAAATACAGTTTTTCATATGGTATCTTCAAAATGAACCTTACAATATTCTCATATGGAATTAGTGATTTGTTTGATGCTGCTTACATGTTTTTCATAGATTTCAAAGGCAGAGTCAAAATATTACACAACTCTCCAACCCAAACTGAGAAAAATACAAATTCTAGTAAAGGAAATTGTCTCCCTTAGGCTAATATACTAGAGAAGGTTTTAATTTCCTTCAGATTTTCTAAATTTTGGAAAAGTCAGTAATGCCACAAAACAGCTTATAGATATTATCCATGTAATCAACATGGTCCATAAGATTTGCTGCTGCATTAACAATCTGTGACTATTGGCTTCTACTGCAAATATAGCTTTAATAGTTGCAAAATGTGGACCACAGAGTGGGATTGTCATAAACCCCCTCAGAAAACTATCAAGAAACCTTGATATTTCTTCATGCATTTTTAAATAGGCTTTCTTTTTCTATGCTTACATTTCATTTAAAAGAAATGTCAGTACTTGAGAACTTCTTGAGTACTTCTCCTTTTTGCTTCTTCCATTTTACAAATAAAATCACTACTGTTCACTACGAACTGTATTAATTCACATATAGAAGTACACAATCTACCACTGCAGAACCTCTGCAGGTCCTCACACCGATGCACTGCAAGAGGCGTTTTGTTGTACCTGTGTGTGGATTCCTAACAGCATCTGCAGTGTTGCTTTAGACATGACGTAGAACATGTATTGGCTGTTTCTTAGTACTGGATGGAAGTTGTTGCATGGAGTTTGTCTTCAGCAAAGCTCTCGGTGCATATGTGCTTGCCAGATATGTAGAAATACGTTCAGACTTAAGAAAAAGATTCTCTTTCAGTATTTGCAGTTCAGATGTCTCTGACAAGTTCTTGTACACTGCAAAGGTGTATGCAAATGGATATAATTTAAGTTTGTGTAAGAACATTTTTATAAAGTAAAAAAATATAGAGAGATAGATAGTGAAAAATCTCAAAACCTGCTAGTAAGGAAATGCAGCACAGCAGGGCCAGAACTGAAAGCAGCAACAAGAAATGAGATTGCAGAAGGTGGGACACTTGTAAAGCAGAGGTCTTATCCTTACGCTGGTGCAGCACTATCAGCAATTAGCAAGCTAGCAGAACTCACTAAACCAGTTGGATGACGTGTATGCCTGAGGTTACATTTCCATCCCTGTAACTGTTACTTAATGTTTGCACTACAGTTAGTGTTTGCTTTTAATTTGATAAATGCTAGAAGCAATTAACATGTTAGTGGAACCAAATATTTGGAGCAGAACCTGCTCCATTAAATATATTATTCTAGTCACTTATAGGGATGGAACAGAGCTTTCATTGGGACATGAATTTTGCAGTATCTGAACAGGATATTCATAATTAATAAGATAATAGAGTTTTTTGGGTTTTTTTTTTCTCCACCCAAAGGATCTACCTTTGCCTTCTTACAGTGCTGTAGATCTCATTTTTTGACCTACATACAAGCCTTATCCTACTGGCTCCATATAAAAGTCATATTCAGTTGAGCACAGCTTTAAAAGAAAAAGTCACAAGCAAATCTGAAGATACTGCCCTTAAAACTTGCAGCTTCTGTTGATCCTCTAAACTACAATTTTGAGAACTTTGCCCAAGGACATTTGGGAATGCAAAGAAAAACTAGGAGGTCAATTTAATTTCATGTTTACCAAGAATGCCTTTGGGCAGATACGGTAGATACAGTTAATTTGGATAAGTAGGTTTTCAAATTTCTTATTCTGTTTGCTAGACTCTAATTAAAGATCAACTTTATTGTTGATCAATTAAGTTTGCCTATTTCTCTATTAATAATACTAAATTATTTGATAATTACAGGAGTGCTGAGCTACTTAAAGGAGACCTTCACTCACACCCCAAGTTACGACATGAGCCCAGCTATGCTCAATGTGCTAGTCAAAATGCTGCTCGCTCAAGCTCACGAGTGCGTCTTTGAGCAGATCAGTCTCCCGGGAATACGCAATGAGTTTTTCACACTAGTGAAGATGACACAGGAAGTTGCAAAGGTAACCAGAGAGACTTAATATTTCCTCTTTAAAATAGCTGCTTCCAGTGCTGCGTTACTAGCTAAGCCTGCAGTAATGCTAACAGGTTTTATTAAATCTAAGTGTCAACAACAATTATGTATTAGAATTACTTCATTAGATTTTTTTTTTTAAATTGAACCTTAATACAAACATGCTAGAGCACTTCAGCTGCAGATTTATCCAAGGTTTTTTTTTTTTTTTTACAATCTATTTACCATACTGCTCTTTCAAACAATACACATCTTGTTCTCGGATTAGCATTCAAAAGGACAGAGCTGTTCTCGGTAACTGCTCAACACTTACCTGGGTGTAATTTCCCAGCAGCTGGAGGGTATGCAGATCTAAAGAGCTGAAGTCCAAAAGAACATGTGGGGAGGGGGTTGTCCAGACGAGCAGAGCCAGCTGGGGCTTCAGGCTGCTAGTTGGAGTATTATCTTGAGACCTGCATTAAAAAAGACAGATGGACTGTGGCCTGGAAGGGAGTGTTCAGACTTGGTGGAGTCGGTGATGTCAGTGACTTCAAAAATACATGATGCGAAGATGCTTTCTGAGCCATTTCAGAATAGCAGATATGTGATTACTTCCACACTAACTAAAGTGGGCAAAGCCTTTCCTACCAACCTGGCAAAGCCACCCTGACTTATTGTAAGCTGTGACTGGCTGCTGGGGAGAGACTTTTGGATTCTGTCAGCTGGAGTTGGGTAATCCACTAAAGCAGTGTTCGCTGCTTGAAAAGCTCTTTTATCCACTCTGAATAAGAGAGTAGCCAAATTTAACCAGACCACACAAGCTTACAGTTAGATAAGCACTCCACAGTTTCAGAATTTAAGGGCAAATCAAAATCAACACGCTTAAGCCTTTCTCAGCTGAATTAATATGACAAGATTTATCTTCAAAGAACTGTTCATTGTATTCTATTTTTATTGAACTCTCTGAAGCCATATAAATAATGGGCTGATTTAGTTCATCTATTCTTGTACAAAATTAATTTCTGGGACTAGGGCAGGGAGAAGTTAATACATAATTTCACATTTTCCCCAAACTGTTTCACCTGTCTACCTGCCCTGTAGCACTCTGTTTCCGCCCCGCCTTCTTTGACATGGTGTACATTACATATCCCAAGGCTGAATTATGTATTTTACTTGAGTAACTGAGCTCCTAATTGCAATTAAAAGTTTTTGTACTTTCTGTGCTTTATTTTAGGTTGGAGAGGTTTACATGCTGGTGAACACTGCAATGAATCAAGAACCAGTCAAGGAGAACATTCCTTATTCCTGGTCTAAGCTGGCACAAATAAAATCAGACCATTACAAGGCTCTAGCGCATTACTTCATTGCCACCATCCTGTGTGACCATGAGTGTAAGAATAATGAGGTTTTCTATACATTCACATAAACGATTATTACTTTAATGAGTAAGACTAGGAGCTAGGAACTTTGGGTTTTCAACAGATGTTATTTTATAGCCATTTTCCCTTTCGGATATGAGGCAATGCTTTGTTGCACACTGTGCAGTAGAATGGGGAAGTTTGATGCACTAACTTTTATGCTGTGCCTACTGTATGCTACTAAGTTGTTCAGTTCTTACTCGTATATATTTTGGCGTATAAGCATTACTTACGTATTGCAGATGTTAAAATTGATATAAGTCCAAAGAACTTGAGATTCCCGTCAGCATGGACTTGTAAGACTATTTTGGCACATTTGGAGAGAAAGTAGCAACTATTGCACAGTAAACCTAAAGGAAGGCACATCAAGAAATGTGTAATGACAGATATTTGATGTCAATCATTACAGTGCAATCCAGTGATGATGAAGATCAGCAGGAGAAAGCCTTGTCCCAGTTGTATGACTACATGCCAGAAGGACTGATGGTTCTCACCATTTTAAAGGACAAAGGACAAAGAAAACAATTAGGTAACTGCCGGTTTCATCCAGCTAAGGGAGGACAGTTGAAAACTACTTGGTATTTTCTTTGTTCATGGAGGACAACTAACAGTTTCTAATTTATTCAGGGAAAGCACATTTACGCAAAGCCATCATTTATCATGAGGAAGCCCTAAGGGTCTGTGGTCTGTGCAAAAAGCTTCGAAATATTGATATTCTCCAAGAGGTCCTGACAGCTGCACACAAGCGCTCACTTCTCAAATATGCTCAGCAGGACAAGGAAGACGACTTCCTCAGTCTAATCCAAGCTCCAGATATCCTTCGTAAGTATTCATGGCTAGAAATCAAGGGTCTATAACAAATAATGAGATGCTGAAGCTAATTTGGTTAAGGGTCTCATTTTCAGAAAGTCTTGAGCTACCCTTCTTTCTCTTCCCGTATGAAAGATGCAGCCTTTTAATAGCAATGCAGCATTTATTGCTAAATGAAGAAGCTTTTCCTGTGCATCTAAAACTGCTTTTTCCCTCCTTAGATTACCCAGTGTAAGTATTTCTATGAAATGGTGTTCATATAACATTATATAACATCCTAGCTGCAGTTTAAGAAAAATAGTTTGTATATTAATTCTTCGTTTGTTGGGATAGTCATGTAATTAACGGATAGTCATGTAATTAACACTTAAGAGTAAACTAATTTATTTTTCCTTTTTTTGTTTTGTTTTAGCTAAAACGGAACATAAAGTAGAAGCAGTCGCTCCCCAGTTTTCCAAGGTGAAAATTAAGGACTTATTTCACAGGCTGGTATGTAAAACATGGATGCTTGACAAGCTTTATCACTCTGCTAATGAGTGTATGTTCATTCTAACGTGAGAGAAATGACACAAGTACCTTAGCCTGAAAATGTTATTTTACCAGACTGTTTTTTTTCCAGAAGTTATTTGTCAGACCATTCCCAGCTTCAGAGTTGTAAGTCAGCTTGAGACACCAAGAATAAAAATGTTTGTATATGGCATTACACAACATTCATTCTTGTAGAGCTTGATAAAAGTCCTATAAAGTTTTGATAGAGACCTCATTTACCTCGTATGAGGGGAGAAATGGGGTACTAGGAGATAAACAAAGCCAATTTTCAGGTAGCTTCCTGTGTATCACTGGTCAAAGGGAAATAGGAATTCAGGTTAAGGTCAGAATACCTCATGTTTCATGAATCAATTTATCTTCTCAAAAATTGAGTGGCACAGGACCTTGGAGCCTGCAGCAGGCTTTAACAGAGATTTCAGAACAGGCTGGCGGTGTTGCTGTTATCCTACTCCTTTTGAAGCACTCTGCAAATAGTCATGGGGCACCTTAAACTTCTAGGGTAAACCTCACTGTTCTGTATCTATGGAAGTAGCCTGGAGGTAACTGAGTAAAATAGGATGAGCTTAAAGCATTGCATTTAATTAACTAACTTAAGAACGCGTGCTTACAAAGGGCACTAACCGTCCGTGGCCCCGCAGGGCCCGCTGTCCGTGTTCTGTGCCAAGCAGCGCTGGACGGCGCCGCGCACCATCCGCCTCCGCTGCGAAGCAGGAGAGCTGGGATTCAGCCTGAAGGGGGGCTCGCCCGTCCAGACCTACTGTCTCGATCCAGTTTGTTCTGCAGCGGTAAGTAAAGCATGGCTATATTAGCTATTTTTCTCCAGAGACTAGCATTACAATTTAAGTATAATTTTAATTTGCTTATATGGGTGCATGGAGGATTTCTTGATTTCTAGCATATATCAACATAGTTCATTCATATTACCTGTACAGGTTTTCAGTACTATATTTGCCTTAGATGTTAGACTATCTGTGTATCTGTGTTCTTGATAACACCTTGAAGTAGAATAGATTTCTTCCTCTGTTCATACTTCATAGATAACAGTCCAAATAACACAAGCATGTTATTCCCCTTCTAATTCAGGCAATTAGAAGGGATAAAGATTCTGAAAGGTAGCAGCAAGAAAAAGCATCAGGATAAAGGTCAGGAAGGGAAGGTGGAACGCCCCCGTAGAAGACGGGGGAAAGAACATGTAACTGGCTTCTAATACATTGTTGTTGTTCTGGGAAAGAAACAAAAGCATAAAGCAATATGCAAAGACAACAGCTTAAGTAGATTAAAGGCAGAAACAATCACTTAAGTACAAATAAAAATCTTGCAGAAACAGAAGTAAGAATGGGAGAAAATGTTGCATGGAAGATGATAGGGTAGCTAAAACCAGATTTTATTTTAGGAGGAAAGTGAAAAAGATGTATAATAAGCTGATACCCAAGTACTTAGACTGTAATCATAATTATCAACAGTTCAACAAGGAGGTAATTTGTGTGATTAAAAAAACTATATTTATTACTTTTATGCTATTTATACACTTTTATTCCACCTGTCTGGCTAGACAGTGATTTTATGACTTCTAAGAGGGAAATACCTTTCTGATGACAAAACATATGTTCTGATGACAACGCATATTATGCATCTTTATACCGCCAGAGAATAATCTGTGCAAAATTTTTCAACAGTTGATGGGCCTAAAAGAAGGAGACTACATTGTTTCAGTTGGTGGTGTGGATTGCAAATGGCTTGGAGTGAATGAGGTACTGGAAAAAATCAAAAGCCTGGGAGAGCAGCCCATTGAGATTGAGGTTATCAGTTGCCAAGACACAACTGCTTCTATGGTATGTAATGAGGCAAATATATTTGGGTCAGGAAAGTGAGAAAACTTGCTATAAAACAGGCATGTGCTCAGTTTTAAACTGCAGATTTAAATGAACTACATTATTACATTATTATTTATCAAGATAAAATGCAGCCTGCGTACATAAGAATGACTGCGGGTGGAGAGGAGGTGTTTGTAGTATAATTACTTTGATTAATTGTATTATAGATTCCAGGACATAACTTATTTTCCCCTAACTTGTCTCGGAGGGTGAGAAAAGAATCCTTCTAGCATAGAAAAGTCACAGTGAAACAATCAGCATCCGAGATTACGTGCTTATTTTCCATTCATCATTTACATAATCATCCTTGACTTTTGCAGTTGATATTTGGAGATTAATGTAACTTTTTATTTTAATAGACTCTCGCTGTACTAAGTTGCTGTAGAAGCTTTAGACTAAGGGAAAATGATCACAAGATAAGAAAAATGTTAAGCTCTACATAATTTAAATTTTTTTTGTACTGAGAGAGAACCTGTAGTTCAGCTAAATCCAATGCTTCATGGTTTTAGCATTCCCTGGCAAACTTACACACTGAAATATGGTTGCCTTAGAAGTGATCGAAGTTCTCTCTCTCTCTCTCTCTCAAAAAAAAAGGCATTACTGAAAATAAGGAATTGCCTTTCTCCCCTTCTGAAACCAAAGGCCTTACTAGACACAAAAGCTTCGAATATGAGCAAATTGCTTCAGGACAGCACTAAGACAAGACAGAGAAAGCTGTGCCTTCCACGTATCCCCAAGGAATGTCCTAGGGTAGCTCTTGTGATAGCTACAGCTAACATGAAACCAAAGCAAATCAGAAACTTGCTGGACCCTGGAAACAAGAAAGAGTCCCCTTCAGCAAGGTCTATGCACTCGAGCTGTCACAGAGGTTTCTGTGTATACTTGATAGTGCTTACTGGCTGCCGGAATAACTAGCTGGAACAACAAAACACATGCAAGGGATTTTCACAAGTTCACTTATAATTTGCTTACCATAGGCAAAGATGCCTAGATGGGCAAAACACCAACATTTCAGCACTCTGAAGGGTCTTCTGTTCTATCAGTATCAGTTACTAGCACAAAAAAAAACTTCCTATAGTCTGTCTTGGAGTAGTAATCTTTTGCATTCTGCTGATTTATTTTTCTTTCTTCTTTTCCCTTTTGCAGCATAACAAGAGTGCAACTTATTCTGTGGGAATGCAGAAGACGTACTCCCTAATTTGCTTAGCCATGGAAGAAGATAAGATTGATCGGACCAAGAAAGCCCCACCAAAACTGCCTTTTCTAAGCTGGGGAACTAAAAATAGACAGAAAGCTGCAAGTACTCTCTGCCTCCCTTCAGCTGTGGCTGGAAGTTCTCCAATTAAGAAAAAGTTTTCTCCCTTCACACTCCTGAATACAGAAAGTTCATTGTATTGAAACTTTCAGAAGGATCCATTTAATATGAAGTTTTTAAAATGTACATAAAATATATTGATATCATCTTTATACACGCATTTGTAAATTCGGACAACTGTTGACTTCCTTTACTGTGTATTTGAACCACTAAAAAGGTCAGAGGCTGTCAAAAATTGTTAAAACTTGCATTTAAAGCTTGAAGATCCAAAAAAGTGGTTTGGGAGGTACTGAATAATTTACTTAAGATAGGGACTGGATTCCTTTGGAATTTCAACATACTCTAATTTTTATGGCTATTATAGATGAGTTATTTATTACAAACTTTGATGCTGCATGCAGAATATGGGACATTTTGAAGGATGATTTGAAGGACTGTAAAAGTTTAGAAATTGTAATAAATCATTTGAAACTACTTTAAATAATTATCTAATGAGAAACTGCACTGGAGAGAGAATAATATTCAGAGAAACTAGCCTTTTGCCAAGGGGAGTATGATGTGACAGGGTCTGTGCACAGACATTTCTGAGATTACTGAATGGATTCTGCTAAATAGTAGTTAATTTCACCCTGGAAAAGAATTAGAAAGCTTAAAAGTCAAAAGACCTTTTAAACTACAAAAAACTTTGACCCTGCTCTCTTCCTGATCTAGGTTACAATTCTCATGTCTGCTTACTCCATTGTTAAAAACAGGCTTTAATTCCAAACTTGAAATTATTTGACCTACTTAATGCAAGATTGTACTCCATTAGTCTGGATAAAATTGATAATGTAGAACAAATCTCAAAACTGAAGTATTCTTGTTCTGAAGTATTAATCCGAAGTACATAAAGTGGTGATACTCTCAGAACATGAGAAAGAGGTGCCTGGAAATCTCTAAGTGGAAGAGTACTTAGTATAGCGCCCAGTAAAACCCTTAGGGACACAAAATTCTCCCATTGGAACAATTTATGAGGAATTATGGACTATGTCCATTAAAAAGTGAGAGGAAAAAAAAGGCATCAAAGGGCTAGTTATACAGGTACTCCTTTTTTTTGAGATTCTATTTTCTGATTAATTGAAAATTGCTAACACTGTAGTGTTAGTTAAAGATGCTATCTACAGAGTAGATATATGCTGTTTGATACTCAAAACTTAAAATTATGGGAAAGTTTGTGCCTGGATATAAACCATATATTTTTAGTTTCTTATATAACAGGTGTAAATGTGTTAATGACACTTATTTAAGAATAAAAAAAAATCAGATCCTGCCATTTATTAGTGGTTTCTTGATTGTGCTCCAGGTTGGATGATACAGTTTACAGGTTTTCATTATTTACTGTTGGCAGGCCTCTTAAGTCTGCTTAACACATATTTCTAGAGTGTCCCTATCTCCGTTACCCCAAAATGTCGTAAATGAATTCCCTCACCTATCCATAGTGTTAATATTTGTCCATGCATATTCATATTAGCACTTCATGTTATATTTATATTACATGCACAAGCAGCAGGCTGATAGTGGCAAGCAAGGGCCTGCAGTCTGATGCTTCTTGCAGCAGAGCTCTACTTGCTAAGATGCAGCTAATGATGCCCTTAGCAGTGCCCCATGAAACTCCATTCACCTCATTTCTCCTAGCCTACCAGGACATTTTTCCCTGCAAATATCTTGTCCCCTGGTTTCTAGCTGCATGGTTAGTTGCCTTTCCATTCCCCTTGCACTCACCCATCCTTGAGGAATGGTTGAGGATGGGGAGTACCCCTTTTTCCCTTAAGTCCGTTTGGACTTCCCAAATATTGTATAAATACATAATACCATTTTCTGTGAGCACATTTGAAGACTTATTCTCCAATTAACTAAAATAATCAAAATTTAGCACAAATACTAATTTCACAGCAAGTTAAACTGCTAAAGTTTGTTGAAGGCAAAGACAATTGTAACAAGTTTCTATCCACAAGGAATATCTGAGACTGCTATAAAACTCTGAAAAGGCAGTTTTAAAATAAATTAATGATGTAATTAAAATATATATATATATACTTTAAAAGTTTAATCAAAAAAGACACCTACCTAAAATATTTTTACAGTTATCAATAACCATGCTAACCCTATAACACAGTCATGTTATATGATAGGTTTCAGCTCTACCAACAGATGAACTCTGTAAGGAGAGGGGAAAAATAACAAGTGAAACACAGAGGCCAATCTTTAAATACTGCAACTCCCTCACATTTTTGCTTACTGAGAAGATAATCTATTCTGCTTGAACACCAGTAAATTGCTGAGTACACTCTTAAGAAACACCACCTACATATTAATGAAATGTTTATTCTGAAAGAAAAAAAGTACAGAAAATGTTTTTTATCTCTAACCACTGAAAAACCGAGAGATTTCTCCCCATTTTTCATACAAGACACATATAAAACACTTTACAGCCCTTGTTTCCAGCTAAGGTAAAACAGCTCTGTATACACGAGCAGAGAAGCTATAGAGAGAAAGCAGAAAAGTAACCTCTAGACACAGTCAACTCCTTTCAGTTTTTGTCAGAATCTTAAGAGCTTACAAGGAAAAAGGGAAGAAAAAACTTCATGTTCCAAAAGAACACACGTATGTCAGGAACTGTTGGTAAAGAAAGTATAAATTTGTTGTGCTACTGTTTGTCCAACTACTGTCTCCAGTTCTTTGACAGATGCATTACAAAGTCTGTGGATGCTCCCAAACTGCTGCAGCAGAAGCAGAGCTTTTGTTTTTCCAACTCCTGGAATTTGCTGCACCGTCCGGAACACCGAAGCCTCCGCTAGCTGAGAACACTGCTTCCGAAGAAAGGGGTTACTACTGCGATCCTTACTTTGCTCACGGACCTGAAGTAAATCAAGATCTTAAGTGATACCCAGTGCCATCTACTGGAGTGTTTAAAATAGTTTCATGCATCTCAAAGAGGTCAAGGATATCACTAGGAGGTTTCAGAAACAGCCTCTTCCCCTTAACCATGTGCCCTTAATAACAGTTTTCTTAACACCAATCTCTGTCTGATGCAATCAGAAACAAGATAAAGGCAAAAATAAACATGGCAAAAAGAATATACTTTTCCCAACCTGAGACAAAGCAAAATCACCAATCAATCAGTTTTAACAGAGAACTTTTACTTAACTGAGGATAGCTTAATGCTAGCCAGTGGTAACCAATGCAAGAGAACATAAAAATAAATCCAGTATCAACTGCACATTCCTCTTGGCTCCCAAATTAGACCACACTATTGTTGCAAGCTTATTCCTTACATTCAGCCAACAAACTACTGAATTCCTTTAGGATCACAGGTACTCTTTTGGAACAGGCTTTGGTATTTTAAAAAATACATGTCTACTAACAGAGAAACTTACGAGTTGAGTAATAAGCTGAGCAGCTTCTCCTTGATTTGCCACAGGAAGCAGCACCATGCCAAGTTCGAGCACCACAAGCTTCTGCACGGCTAAGAAGTACTGCTCGCTTATGGATGTTCTCTCCACAATTACAATTCCACCAAGGCTGCTTGCCTTTATTGAAAGGAAAAGACAAGACACTGTCAATGATAAGATTCAGTGCAAATAAGAGGAAACTTCTGAGCTGCCTGGGAACAAATCCAAGGAAAAATGGAAGTGGCAATAGTACTGAAGTTTAATACAGCATTATCACATAAAGTCATTATTCATTTTTATTAGTTTTTAGCTGGAATACCTCATGCATATTTATCTCCACTAGAATCTGAAAAACATGTTCCAAAAACACTGGAAAAGAAATCGCCATCAGAAACTTTTCACCTTCCCTTTATGCACTACTTACGTTCCTAAACCGAACCAATCTTCGTTTGAATTCATCCCCTGCAACCAAATCTGCTTCAGAAATATATAAAATGCAGGTTTTGTTTGGAAGATGGAAATCCACAAGTCCCAAGCTGTCTTCAAAAATGAGCTTAATTTTCCCTTAAGATTGTTAAAAGACAAAAAAAGGTCATTAAAAACGGTAATAATTGCTCTAAATTTTTTAACGTGTGTCAATAGCTCTAGTGACGTAAACCTCGACAGCCAGTGGCAGCCCCTGGGAGGCCCTTTTCGCGGCCGGCTCCCGGGACGGTCGGCTCTGGTCTCCTCCGCGGCAGGAGCAGGAGGCAGGTGCGACAGGGGCGAGCGCGGGTACAAAACCGACACGCAGGAGCGCTCAGTGCAGTAACACTGGATCCATCCCGAACGGAGGCGCAGTCCGCACACGGCCACGGTGTATCCTGGCCAATCCAGCAATACTGGGAAATGCCGACTGGGAGGTACTTTGCCCTTCTCCCAGTCGCTGGCACTCACCTTGTAGCCTCTGGGATATTTCCGACCCTCTCCATTTCTCGTTTCCAATCGCGTGTCCGTAAGGGACAACGATGGAGCCTCCTGTCACAGGAGGCTGCCCTTTTGCTGTCATTGGGTCTGTTTTGTCTCAGGGCACTCGCAGCCTAAAGGAAAAGTGAGAGAGGCAAGAGGAGCGTTAGCACGGTCTGGAACGTGTCCCGGATGGGGTCGGTGGTATC